GTAGGTAGTCCAGGAAAGGGTCAGAAGGAATGGAACCTGAGAACTTCTACCTGAGGTCTCCTGAGAGCATAACCAGCCTCACCCAGAGCCCAAAGATGGCCACGTTTGTTTGCTAGGTGCACTAATGAATTTAAAAGTAATTTATTTAGTATTTTAAAAAGGGAAATGCTTATTGGAATCAGCAATACAAGGATCATTGGTGACAGTTCAATGATGAGAAAGCAAGTCTATTGGATGAGAATTAAGAAGGAATAGGAGGCATAAAGTGCTTCCAGTAAAATCAGAACATACACAAGGAGTCTTGCAGTTCGGGGGAGTAGGAAAACAGTATTAGATGTGGAGGCGTGAGTAGGGAAGTGAGGGCATTTTTTTTAACAGGAGTTTATTTGAACATGTTTTTTATTCTTTAAAAACATCCAGACCAAGGCAATAGATACAACCTTGCAATAGCCTTTCCTGAGAGGAACAAATCATCTCTCACTGTTGGGTATTCACATAAAAATATTCAATAAATGAAAGAGGAATAACAAATAGTTTTACTTTACAATTATTTTGTTACTTGTGCAACTGTGTATATTGTTGGTTTATAAACCTTTTAGTTCACTGCAAACTGTGCGATTTCTTTACAAAGTTTATATAGTGAGGGCTGAATTCTTCTTGTGTTTTTTTTATTTCATGCTTTCAAACAAAAATCGGAGTTTTTTCCACTAAAGATTTTTATTGTTTGACAGTGAATTATTTTAAATATAGATAAATATACTGAGGAGAATGTATGAATGTTTACAAATTTTGTGTGGTTAATTCTATCAGTAAGTAAGTTGTTTTCCCTCTATTACATCTTTATTATTAAATTTATTGGAGTGACATTGGTTAATAAAATTATATAGATTTCAAGTGTACAGTTTAATAATATATATGTATATTTCATTATATGTTAAACAGAAGGTCAAATTTTAAGGGTAAAAATTTCTCCTGCATCCTTAGTAGTATAAATCTTCTTTCATATATATTACGTTCTTATTTCACATCTGTTTCTCCTTATTTCTACCTTTTTGTTTTTCATGGTAATACGTGTTTTTAAAAATAGCAATCACCTTCTTTCATCCTGTGAAAGTCATTCTTTTGTATTCAACTAATGATCACTTCTCTGTTTTTCCTAAGCATATTTGATTCCATTTACATTTTTATATGTAGAATCTGGAATATTTGATACTGCTTCCATCACTGACTTTTTTAAAAGTATTTTTATAATTTTTCATTTGCAGATCTTTGACAATTTAATTTTTAATTATCGATCCACATTGATGCAGTTAAATTGTTATTTTATATCTTTTCTTTTAAAGTTAGTCTTAGATTTTTATTCAATTTTATTAAACGCAATAATTTGAATCTACAATATGAACATGGTTTTATTTTCCTGAAATTCTTTTCATTTTATGATTTTTTTCATTCTTTAACGCTTTTTCTATATAAATGCACACATTTATGAAACCACTTAAGTAACATTGCAAAAGAGAAGGCCCAGTACCATGAAATGAGTGTGATATGACATCATGTCCTCAGGGATAAAAGTATAAATAAAAGGGGACCAATAGATGTGGCAAAGAGGATTTTATAGAGTATGTCTGGGGAACCTTTGCATGTTGGACAAAGAACAGAACCAGGACGAGTGTACCCATCAGATGTGTCACAAGGAGGTCAACACTTAAAGCCTGGAAACAGCAAAGAACCACAAAGAAAAGTGAGAGAAAGGCCATTTCTGGGCCATATAAAAATGAGGGTGATCAAATAAACATGAAATAGGTGCAGGAATAACAATTAGATCAGAGCTGAGGTGGATGCTGTGATGAGGCCAGTGGGGCAATAAAGGTCTAGTCAGTGCAAGATCCCTCAAGTCCAAGGGAACTGCAGATCCGTCAAGTGCCACGCTGCCTGTCTCCTCTCTCTGCACCTGGCTCTCTGTAGGATCATCATTCTTGTTGCTTTTCCCTCATTGGTAGGAACTGGTGTTCTTTTAAACTATATTTTCCTGTACAGCATTGGAGTCCAAAGATTTTTTTTTTTTACTTTTTCCCAAATAGGACATTCCAGTTACACTGTGATCCAGCATGTCCTCACACAAACACAGAAATACACATGTGCCCATGTGTGCATGCACGCATACGCACACACACCTGACAAAGAGAACCATGAAACAATATTGTATGTACCCTCACTATGTGTGATGCACTCTCATAGTTTCTTTTGTGCCTTCTTGATTCCATTCTATTTAATTATTACAAACCATAATCCAACACCCTAGAGGGTCCTGATATAGAATATGGAAACATTCTTTTAGCATGTCCTCCATACCTAGGTTAGTTTTTCCTGCTTCTCCTTTTTCTCATTACAGGCGCTTTCTGTTAGAATGCGTTCTCTCATCCCTCCATGGAATACATATTTATTCAGCTACTGCTCCCAACTCAGCTAAGTCTGGTGGGAAGGTGGTGATGTGAATAACATGCTGCATGTTATATATATCACAGCACTCACTGTGTAAAGGAAAGAAAAGGCATAGAATTAACTAAAAATTATTAAAGGCATAGAATTAACTAAAAATGATTATGGGCACCATAACACCTAAATAAGTTCATAAGAAAGTTTTTTTCTTTGATAACGTTCAGAAAAAGAAAAGTTTCTTGAGGGAGACAATGCAAGCAATTTGAAAGAGAAGATGGAGATTTGAGGATGCAGAGGGGGTGAAAATTTCCCTAAGACCAATGAGGAGACTCTAAGCGGATGAAAGTGTGTGTGTGAAGACTCTGATCATTGAAGCTGTAAATCAGGTAAATCTGGGAGTCAAGTTCAATATTGGAAGTCAGTGTGAGAGAGGGCAGAGCCCTATGAGTGTGAAGCTGGTGGAAAGGTCACAGAGAGTCAAGCTCTTGTTCGAAGCTACAGAATTTTAGCTTCTATCTCACTGACATCAGCTTTGTAATATAGAAACTCCTCTCTTAGGCCTTAGGAATATCTTTTTGGCAAGAGGGGTCCAGTGTGTGATAGATGGGAGAGAAGACAGAAACTGAAATATGGCTGTGGAATTGGAGACCGAGAGGTGGGGAAGCAATGGAGACACTGGAGAGGTAGAAGAAAATAATCAGCCTCATCTCATCACAGGGGTAACCTCTCATTTACCCACAAGAAGGAACTGTGCTAAGCATGTTACACATATTGTTCAAATCTGTCACCACTCTGGATGGAACCCGTCTGCACTATTTGGGTGAGGATATTAGCATTTAGAAGGTCTAGATGTCTCTCTTTGTTCAAAAAGCTAAGAGGTGGTAGATCCCAGAATCAAAACTCAGTTTTCTGGTTCCAAAAGTTTTGTTCTTAATGTCATTTATAAATGTCCCTTCTCATTTCAGTTTTTAAAACTGCCATTTTTTATGCGCAGTATATATTTTCTTTTGTAAATTGTATGTTTAGTCTCTCTGCGCATTTTCTAGTGGGATATTAACTCTATAAAATGTCTTGACCATAAAGATATTGCTTTTTTCTCTTTTGAATTAATTATTTGCTACTTTCTTGGTTATTCTGGGCCTTGAGGGAACAAAACTACTGTTGGCTTATTGCCAAAATCAATGACGAATTTTCCTCGGCACAATCTCTCAAAGACCCCCACCCCCAGCTTATTGGATTCTCTCTCTCTCTCTCTCTCTCTCTCTCTCTCTCTCTCTCTCTTTCAATTTTTCTTTCTCCCTCCCTCTCTCTTTCTCCGTCTCTCTTTCTCTCTCCCTTTCTCTCATTTTATCTCTCTATTTATTTAACTTATTGTTTTAAGTACAAGGCGAAAATAGTTATATCAAAATGGAGCCCCATTTTTACATCTCCATTGTAGTCTTATTGACTGAAATTTGGTGCTGTTTCTATTTTATCTTGAGGAAAATAGTCTGTTGACACCATGCCTTGTATCATTCCTTTCCTCATTATTATGGCTAAGGGTAGGTACAGCTAGGTAGTAACATGGCCATACTCTGTGTACCTGTGGTTTACAGAGCATGAGCAGTTCTCAAGACAGGGGTACCTAGTTCATATACTCCAAAATGTGACCCTTAAAACACAGTTGATAGAATGTTATCCAACAGATGGAAATAAAGAAGGGATCACTTCTACTCACAGGATCTCTTGAAAACAAAAAGAATAAAATGAAAAGAACAACATGAGGTTAAAGGATCCCTGTGTCTTAAAGTTTCATCTGTAGCAGACACACCATCTCATTCCTCCAGATTCTCTGACATCATCCTTATCATTTCTCTCTTGCTCATTCTCTTCACCACATGGCTTCCTTTTGAGCCTTGATTTCTTAAGACAAGTGCCAACCTCAGGACCTTTGCACAGGTTCTTTCCAGCCTACACACCTCCCCAGAAATCTTCCTATCTTCCCTGTGTCTCCTTGAGGTCTCTGTACAAATGGCACCTTGTTTGCATAGTTTTCTTAATTCTAGTAAAAATAACAACACATCCACTCTCTTTTATACATACTTTCTTTTTCCTCAAAGCATCTCTACAGACTGACATCATATATGATTTTTCATTTTTAATATTCTTTCTCCATCATTGAATTATAGGAACTTTTGTTTCTCAGCACCCTACAATACTTGACAAGAAAATGGACAGGATTCAGCATATATTCCTCAATACAAGACAGAATTTATCATTGAATCTGAAAAAATACATGATTTATAGGCAAAATTCTGAGAGTGGGACAGGAATTGGTAATCAGAGATGTCATAAGAGATTTTTTAAAGGGAATCAGATTTATGATATTATATATAGAGAGAGAGAGAGACAGAGACAGAGACAGACAGAAAGACGGAGGCAGAAACAAAGACAGAGACAGAGAGAGACTGAAAAATAGAAATGGTACAATTTTAACATGTTACTAACACCCATATGCAAAAGTTAATCATATTTTGTTTTGTTTTGTTTTGTTTTTCCATTTTAGTCACCGCCTCTACCACATGGAACCATGGAATGATACACGACTTTCAGAATTTCTTCTTCTGGGATTTTCGGAGGAACCAGAACTGCAGCCCCTCATCTTTGGGCTCTTCCTTTCCATGTATTTGATCACTGTGTTTGGAAACCTGCTTATCATCCTGGCCGTCAGCTCAGACTCCCACCTCCACACGCCCATGTACTTCTTCCTCTCCAACCTGTCCTTGGTGGACATCTGTTTCACCTCTACCACCGTCCCAAAGATGCTGGTGAACATCCAGACACAGAGCAGAGTCATAACCTATAAAGGCTGCATGACCCAGATTTATTTTTTCCTACTCTTTGGAGTATTGGATGACTTCCTCCTGACCGTGATGGCCTATGACCGCTATATGGCCATCTGTCACCCCCTACACTACACAGTCATTATGAACCCCTGGCTCTGTATACTGCTAGTTCTGGTGTCCTGGATAACAAGTGCCCTGTATTCCTTGTTACAAAGCTTAATGGCTTTGCAGATGTCTTTCTGTACAGACTTGGAAATCCCCCACTTTTTTTGTGAACTCAAACAGGTAGTCCAACTTGCCTGTTCTGAAAAGTCTCTTAATAGCATCATGGTGTATTCTGGAGTTGGGCTACTGGGTGTTGGTCCCCTCACTGGAATCCTTTACTCTTACTCGAAGATTATTTCCTCAATACATGGAATTCCATCAACTCAGGGGAAGTATAAAGCATTTTCTACCTGTGCGTCTCACCTCTCAATTGTCTCCTTATTTTATTGTACAGGTCTAGGAGTGTACTTTATCTCTGCTGCTACTCACAGCTCACAGGCAAGTGCAGTAGCCTCAGTGATGTACACCGTGGTCACACCCATGCTGAACCCTTTCATCTACAGTATGAGGAACAAAGACATAAAGAGGGCTCTGAAAAGATTCTTTGAGATGCCAGGAATAAGAATAACAGGATAATCATGAATGCTGTCTTTGAATATCAGAACATATGCCAAAAATTTAAAAATAGCAGATTATTATAATTATACTCAGTTTTGTTTGCCTTTATTTTCACCAATTAGCTAATGTTGCATAACGAACTATCTTAAATGCTATAATTTATATCAAATGGGCTTATATACTGGGAGTTATTCTGATCTCTGCTCAGATGCTCATGAGTCTGCTTCAGCTGGTAGTCTCTACAGTTCAACCGTGTTATCTTTGAGGTTGTAGTACACCCCTCTCTTGTACCAAATTATGACAGTTTATATGTATAGTTTAATCTTCTAGTTAACAAAAAAATGAGTTTACCAAAAGTGATTTGTCTTAAAATAATGTCACTGTTTTGCTATCCATATAAGACACATCACTTTCTACCCAGTGGCATTTCTCCCTCCCCTGTTAAAATGTGACTCAACTACCTGTGCTCTACATCTTACCTTGAGCCAGGCATCATTAGATGTTTTTTTCCTGTGCATATTACAATTTAAAGTTTACTGAATTAAAGGGACATTTAATTTAAAAGAGTACATATTACATGGGTCATTTATACATAATTCATGGAAGTGTATGAAAGCTTTAATTGCATTGTTATATAATTGAGAAAAATTGAATCTCCCTGAGCCTCAGGTCTGTATTTCTGATGTTAATGTGGGATAATAATAATTCTGATGAATTCATAATTAATGAATTCTGTGGAAATATTTTATTGAGTATAAGAACTCTTTCATAAGTTGGCATTTTGTTTGTGTATATGTATTTGTATATTATTTTTAACAAATAAACACACTCACTCACATATATATGTATACACACAGACTCAATAATTTCATCTTTTTGTTAAAAGGAAATTTTAGAGAAAACTGAAGAGGATAGAAATAAAAATAACTATAGGTTGGTTAACATGAAAATTTTTAAATGTAGAAATTAAAGGAGAATTGTTGTCTTGAGTTTAATAATGAATTATTTTCCTATCTGAATGTCCAAAGACCTCAAAGTCAGAATCGCGTTTGCATTTATGCAACAGAGAATTCTCTGTACCAGCTAATGCAGTAAACTCTCCAAATCGACCTTAGACTTTTTTCATCTACCTATGGGGGTGTGGGTGGAGGTTTACACAAAATGTCCTTACCCAGAGGAACCAAAATTAAAGAATTGAGAAGCTTAAAGTCAGTTTTCTATGAAAACAATTATTTAATAAATGTCCGTATACATTGCTATTGCTGCTGTAACAAATTACCACACTAGGGATTTAAAAGAAAGAAATTTATTCATCTATAATTCTGGAGATCAGAAGCCTAAAGAGAGTCTCACTGGACTAAAATCAAAATGTCTGCAAGGCTAGTTATCTTTTAGAGGCTTTAGGAGAGAATTTGTTTCCTCTCCTATTCCAGTTTCTCATGGCCACAAGCATTCCTTGGCTCATGGCCCTTCCTCCATCTTCAAAGCTAGCAATGTAGCATCTTCCAGTGTCCCTCTGATTCCAGCTATTCTTTCTTCCTCTTCCACGTTCTAGGACCATGATGGTGACATTAGTCCCACCTGCATAATCATGACTAATCTTCTTAACTTTAAGTCAGCTGATTAGCAAACTTATTCCATCTGCTACCTTCTTCCTCCTTTGCTATGAAAAAATAACATAATATGAGTTTCTGGGGATTATGTTGTGGATATCTTTTTGAGGCTCTTATTCAGCCTACTATAAAATCAGGGCCCTTAGATAAAATAATCAAATGAGTTACTTTTCCAGAAGTATACAATATTATGTCACTCATGAATCTTTATATAAAATAATTTAATGATGAATTTATAATAGCCACTGGAATTAATACATGATTTCTTCAAAGTTACATGCAAAAATGACTCCTGGTTCAGAAGACTTAAAACTACCTACACCTGACTTTAACACAAAACCACGGCCTTGCTACTCAAAGAGTGGTCCTCACTCTAGGACCTGCAACATCAACATCACCTGGGAGATTGTTTGATTCTCAGAATCTCTGGGCCCCCAAGGATCTGTTGAATCAGATTCTGCATTTGAACTAGAATCCTGAATAAGTCATACACACAGTGAACTTGGAGAATAGTTGATGTAGAATAAGTTTTCTCTCAACTCCTTATATATTGACAATTGGGCAGAATAATTATTTGTATTGGGTGTTGTAGTTGTTTAGCAGCCTCCCTAGACATTGCTAAATAGCCCAGGGACAACATCATCTCAGGCTGGGAACCACTGGCCCCGAGTTGAAAACTGGAAGCATCCTGTCAGATATCAATCAAGACCCATCCCTCACTCAGTTTGTAACTTGGGGTGAACACTAAACTCCTTCAAGTCCCATTTCTGCAAAGGGGAATGGAGTCCATAATAGTACTACCTCATGGATGGACTTTTTGAAAAATTTAAATTAGACGAAGTTTATAAGGTGCTAAACTCAGATTATTCGACATAAAAATATTGAAATGTATCTCTCATAATTAACAAACATTTATAATATGGGCCTGAATTACAGCTCTTAACTGTGATATAAGTACAAAATTCATAATTATTTTGACAAATGAGTCAGGAAGCCAAAGAGTGTGATGCCCAGGATTGCATATGAGAAGGAACCCAGCTTTCTCCTTGTTGAAGAGGAAACAGCAATTCTCTGGAGACATCATGGCTGTGTCCCCACCACAAATCAGTGCTTTGTAGATCAATGGGACCTGATATTGAGAGTTCCGTGATCTCAGACGTTGTAGAAAATGAGAAGTCAGGGTTGAAATGAGATGGTAAGAGGTTAGACCTCTGGAGAGCTGGGAGATCAAAGACACAAAGAAATAAAAAATTATTCGCTTGACTTCTAACCTGGTCTCTTGGAATCAGAGAATCATTAGGAAAAAGTTCCATCCTGTTTATTTCAGAGGCCTAGAGGGAAATCATGTGCTTAGAAATTGGAATAACAGGAGAGAGATGCCTGATGAGCAGTAACACCTTCTCTGTGCAGTTCCTCACCTTGTACAGCATTGGTAGACAGGACACATTTGTCGCTTTTGACACCTAAGCCATCTCAGAACTGATGCTTCATTCCTTCCTGCTGTCTTGTCTGGGGACAAAGCATCAGTCTCCATCATCAACTACCCAGGTCGGAATTCAGACTTCCACACAGAGACCCTCCTCCCAGAGACCCCACCCAGGTGAGTCCGAGAGCTCAGCAAGTACTTCAGAAAAGGGTCAGAGAGAATGAAATCTGAGAACTCTTACCTGAGCCACATTAGAGCCCAATCAGCCCAGTCATACAAGTAATCTCAGTTTGTTTACTTGGTTATGTGACTTATTATAAGTAATTTAATGCATTAATAACCATATGTCTGTCTGAATCCACTCTAAAGAACCATAGTTGACAATTAAGTAATCGGTGACATTATAGTATTAGTGAGATGCATAAAATAGTTGCAGTAAAATGAAAACACATCTGAGGAGCTTTGCAGGTTGAGGAGCAGGAAATAGACTGTGAGGTGTGGAGGACGATGCAGTGAAGGGAGAGCATTTGTATTAAATTTCTAAGATAGGAGGTATTTGAGCATGTTTTGTATTTATTGAAAAGATACGGACCAGCGGAGGTAGAAACTACTTTGCAACGGCCATTCCTGAGACATACATTGCAGAATCTGCTCTCATGCTGGATATTCACATGGAAAATAATTACGTAATAAGTCTAAAGAATAATACCTACTAGTTTGTATTTTTTCGTTATTGCCAAGGCGGCATATATTTTGAGATTTGGTGCCCTTTTACTTTATCGGGAGAGTTAGGAGGAACTCCTATCCCACAAGCAGTCTTTTTCCCCAGTGGTCATTGTCTTCCATATTTTTAATGAGAAATTCTGTCGAGTACTTGGGGAGTATTAAATGAGGACTGACCCACTTGTAGGCAGCATATAGAGTGCTGAGAAACAAACATTTTTGCAGTTCAGTAATGAAGAAGTTAAGGTCACTCGTTGTTCTTAAATTTTAATGTATCGAAGGCATCGTAGCCAGATCATGTTTACATTTGTACAAAGAGGACTTTGCCGATGGGATGGAATACCTCCAACTTGATTTAAAATTTATTTCGTTTGGGTTTTCAACATAAAATTTCTTTATTTAAGTGACACTAATCAATGAAGGAGAGGCTTCAACTCAGTTCCCTCAGCAAATTTTATTAAATAAATGTCTATACTAGATTCTATTGCTACTGTAAAATATTCCCACATCAGTTGTTTAAAACAAACAAATATATGCTCTCACATTTCTGAATGTCAGAGCTTGAATGTGTCTCATGGCAAATATCAAGATGTCTGCACAGCTGAGATCTTTCTAAGTCTCAGGGGAGAATCTAGAGGCTCAGGTGAAATTCTGTTTCCCTTCCAATTCCAGTTTGCATTCTGGTCGCCTGCATTCCTTGGCTCAGGCCCCTCCTCCATCTTCAAAGCCAGCAGTGTAGCATTCTCACCTTTGTCTTCTCTTCTGCTTCTAGAGGAGCGTTGTGGTTACCTTAGTCCCACCTGGATTACTCTGGCTCATCTTCTACCTTAAAGTCAGCTGATTAGCAACTCTGTTCCATCTGCTACCCAAACTTTCCCTGCTATAACAATACCATATCCAAAGGCACTGGGGATTAGGGTGTGGACATCTTTTGGAGCTTTTTAATCTTCTACTACAAAGTCTTTTTCAAAAGTATATGATTATGTATCACTCATGTGCCCTTATATAAAAGAAACAAACACAGAATTTATCACGGTCTCTGGAACGAGTGAATCCTGTTCACTCAAAATTACATGCAAATTTGTTTTTTTCATTCAGAATATCTAAAACTACCTGATCTTGACTCTAACACAAGATCTCAGCCGTGCTGTTCAAACAGTGGTCTTCAGACCTGGACCTGCAGGACCTGCTGAATCAGACTCTGCATTTGAACTAGAATCCTCAATAATTCATACGCACTTTGAAATTCCAAACTTGTGGTCCAGACTAGGTGTTCTCACCTTTGACCATTGACATTTTGGGCAGGATAATAATTTGGGTTGGAGGGGGTTGCTTTCCTGTGGATTGCAGGTGTTTAGCAGGATCCCTTCAGACATTGCCAGATACCCCAAGGGCAAAATAATTTCTAGGTGAGAACCACTGTCTAGAAGCAACTTGCAAACATTATAGTCAAGGCCCAACAGATATTCTGATATTAACTTTGGGCACATCACTAACCCTTCTGCTCCATCCCAGGGCCTTTGCACTGGCCTCTGCAGGGCACACAGTTGTCTACATAACCTGGCATTTCCCTCCTTTTTGTCCTAGAGGTGATGTTCAAATGTCATCTTGTTTGCAGGTATTGCCCAAGTACCCATTAAAAAAAGTCCTCATCACTTTCTCCTTTAAAGTGGCTTTCCTTTTCTTCATACCACCTGTCACTATCTGAAATGTTATATATTTTTATTATTTTCTCTACACTCTTTTCTTATCATTGACTTGTAGAGCTTTTGCTCTTCAACACTCTATATTTACAACCTAGACAATGCCTAAAACCTGGTCAGCAAATTATTAATATTCCTAAAATGCATAAAGACTTTTCATGAACACTGTAGAACATATGAACCCTTAGGAGAAAAAATAGAATGAGATTTTTTTTTTAAATCTTAATTTGAGATAACACAGGAAACCCCGAGAGGAACAGATCCACATAAAAATATTTAAATTAATATTTTGACTGCAAAATATAAGCTCTAGCATTTCTCAGATATAAATTATTTGATGTCACTTGGGAGCCCTAATATAAAAGAATGGAACACAGAATTTATCCCTTCTATAGAATGAGTGAAAAGCTTTTCTTTCAAAATTACATACAGGGAAGATTCCTAGTGGAGAAGACCTAAATTACCTATACCTGACTCTAACACAGGTGCATTGCCTTGCTACTCTAAGTGAGATTCACAGACCAGGACCTACAGCTTCAACATCACCCAGGAGACTATTTGATTCTCAGAATTTCTGAGTGCACAAGGATCTGCAGAATCAGATTTTGCATTTGAACTAGAATCATAGGTGACTCGAATGTACAGTGAAGATGATGAAGAGATGGTATAGAATAAGTTTTCTCTCACCTTTGCATGTTGACAATTGAAGAAGAATAATTACTTGTGTTGGATACTGTAGGTGTTTAGCAGCCTCCCTAGATGTTGCCAAATAGCCCAGGCAGAGGATCTCAGGTAGAGGATCACTGGCCCAGAGTTTGAAAACCGGAAGCATCCTGACAGATTCCCATCAAGGCCCATCCCTCACTTTGTAACTTGGGACAGACACTAAACTCCTTCAAGCCCCATTTCTGCAAAGGGAATAGGGTAATACTATCTCATAGATGGATTTTTGAAAAATTAAATCAAAGTCTATAAGTTGCTAAACTCAAATTTAATGGCATAAAAACATCAAAATGTATCTCATAATTAACAAATATTTTATAATAAGGCACTAAACAACAGCTCTTAACTCGTAATATAAGTACAAAATTCCTAATTATTTTGACAAATTTGGCAGGGAGCCAATGAGTGTGGTGCTTAGGATTGCATATCAAAGGAACGCAGCTCTCCCCTTATGGAAGAGGAAATAGCAAATCTCTGGAGATCAGTCTATGTCCCATCACAAATCAGTGATTTAGGGATAAAGGGACCTGGTCTTAACTGGTTCCATTGTCTCAGATGTTGGAGAAAATGTGAAGGTAGTGGGAGGTTAGACCTCTGGTGAGGAGGGAGATCAAGGACATGGAGAAACAAACACTGGATTTTTTTTTACTTTTAACCTAGTCTCTTGGGATCAGAGAATCATTAGGAAAATCGTCCTTTCTATTTATTCCAAAGGCCCAGAGGGAAATCATGTGCTTAGAGGTTGGAATAACAGGAGGGAAATGCCTGATGATCAGATAGAGAAAGAGTGGTAATACCTCCTCTGTGCAGTCCTTCAGCTTGTACAGCATTGGTGGACAGGACATGGTTGTTGCTTTTGACTCCTAAGATGGCTCAGAACTGAAGCTTCACTCCCTCCTGCTGTCTTGTCTGGAGACAGAGCTTCAGTCTCCATCATTAGTCATCTAAAGAGGAACTCAAAATTCCACACAGAGCCATCCCTTTCAGAGACCCACCAGGTGAGTCTGAGTGTCCTGCAAGTAGTTCTTGAAAGAGTCAGAGGAGATGGAACCTGAGAACTCTTACCTGAGTCACATGAGAGCCCAGTCGGCACAGCCCAGAGACAAGAGATCTCTGTTTCTTTTCTTGGTTAAGTGACTAGTTTATAATTAATTTAATGTTTTAATAAGCATGTATCTGCAATACAGGACCATAACTGATAATTAAGTGATGGGCATGGGAGTCTGGTTGGGAGACACTGTACAATGAGTGAGATGCATAAAATGGTTACAGTAAAATAAAAACACATCTGAGGAGTTTTGCTGGTCAAGGAGAAGGGAATAGAGTGTCAGGTATGGAGGACGGTGCAGTGAAGTGAGAGTGTTTGCATTAAATTTCTAAGATAGGCTGTAGTCGAGCATGTCTTGTATTCATTGGAAAGACTTAGAAAAGAGAAGGTAGATGTCACCTTACAACAGGCACTCATGAGACATACACTGCAGAATATTCTCTCATGCTGAGATTCACATGGAAAATAATTATGTAATTAAATACAAAGAGGAATACTAAATAGTTTTACTTTGAATTACTTCATTACTGGAGAGGCTGCACGCATTTGGGGGACTGTTGCCCTTTTACTTTCTCTGTTGGAACAGTTAGTAGAATTCCTATCCCACACTCAGCCTTTTCCCCAGTGGCCACGTCTTCTATATTTTTAATGAGAAATTCTGTCATGCACTTGGGGAATATAAAATGAGGATTGAACAACTTCTAGGCAAAGAGTATAGGGTGATAAAAAAAAAACAAGTTTTTGCAGTTCAGTGAGGGAGAAATTAAGGTCACTGGTTGTACCTTAAATTTTAATGCATCAAAGGCATCATAGCCAGATCATGTTTATATTTATGCGATGATGACTTCACTGTACCAAGTGATTGGGTACAATACCTACAACTCTATTGAAAATTTCTTTCTTTTTCATGTGGGGTGGTTGGGTACAATACCTCCAACTCTATTGAAAATTTCTTTCTTTTTCATGTGGGTTTTCAACGTAAAATTCTCTTACCCAAGGATGCTAATGAATGAATGGAGAGGCTTCAATTCGGTTCCCTCAGGAAATTTTATTGGATAAATATATGAGATTCTACCGCTGCTGTAAAATATTCCCACACTAGTTGTTTAAAACAAGCAAATATATGCTCTCACAGTTCTGGTGTCAGACACTTCAATGTGTCTCACTGGCTAAACTCAAGATGTCTGCAGGGTTAGGTTTCTTCTCGAGGCTCAGGTGAAATTGTTTTCTTTCTCATTCCAGTTTGCATTCTGACCAGCTGCATTCCTTTGTTCCTGGCCCTTCCTCCTCCTCCTTCAAAGCCAGCAGTGTAGCATGTTCATCTTGTCTCCTCTTCTGCTTGTAGAGGAGCATTGCGGTTACCTTAGTCACATCTGGATGATCCTGGCACATCTTCTACCTTAATGTCAGCCGATTAGCAACCCTATTCTGTCTGCTACCCTGCTATAAAAAGAACATATTCAAAGGCCCTGGGGCTGAGGGTGTGGACATGTTTAGGAAGTCCTTATTCTGTCCACTATAAAGTTTTTTTAAAAGTGTATTACTATGGGTCACTCAAGGGCCCTTATATAAAGGAAATAAACACAGAATTTGTCCCATTTCCTGAATGAGTGAATACATTATTCTTTTAAAACTACATGCAAGGAAATTTTTGGTTCAAAAACCTAAAACTATATCTAGCTGACTCTAACACAGGACCTTAGCCTTGTTATTCAGAGTGGTCCACAGACCAGGACCAGCAGCAACAACACCATCTGGGAACTTGATAAAAATGCAGTTTCTTAGCCCATTAGGACCTGCTGAATCATATTCTGCATTTCTGGTAGAATCCTTGTTGATTCATAGGCACACTCAAGTTGAAGTGCTGGACTAAACTAGGTTTTTCTACCTCTCACTGTTGACATTAGGGGCAGATAATTTTGGAGGTTGCTTTCCCACAGATTGTTAGTGTTTAGCAGTATCCCTCTGGATATCGCCAAACATCCTAGGGGCAAAAGAATTTCTGGGTGGGAATCACTGCCTAGAAGCAACCTGCAAAAATTATAATCAAGGCCTAACAGATACGCTATTAACTTTGCGCACATCACTAACCCCTTCTGCTCCATCCCAGGGCCTTTGCACTGGCCATTCTCTCTGCGGGTACATAGTTGTCTACATAATCCATCATCTTCCTCCTTTTTGTCCTAGAGGTGATATTCAAATATCATCTGTTTGCAGGTCTTGCCTAAGTACCTATAAAAAATACAATGTCCTCGTCACTTTCTCCTTTAGACCCACTTTCCTTTTTTTCATACCACTTGTAACTATCCGAAATGTAATATATTTATATTATTTCCTCCTACCTTCTTCCTCCATCATTGACTTGTAGGGACTTTTGTTCTTCAGCACTCTATACACACAGCCTAGACAGTGCCTAAAACCTGGTCAGCAAATAATTCATATTCCTGAAATACAGCAAGACTTTCTCATTAACACTGTAAAATACATGAATCCCTTGGAGAAAAAGCAGATTGGGACAGAAATTTCTAAACTGAGACATCACCAAAAAAAACCCAAGAGGGGACCAGATCCATATAAAAATATTGAAATTAATTTTTTGATTGCAAAATATAAGCTCTAGCATTGGAACTATGTGAGTAAAGCCAGTGTGTATGAAAATTACTCCCATTAGTTTCCTCTATTCTGGAAGTCACTTCTACTTCATGGAACCAGAGAATCTGACAAGAGTTTCAGAATTTATTCTTCTGGGACTTTCAGAGGAACCAGAACAGCAGCCTCTCATATTTCGGCTCTTCCTCTCCATGTATCTGATCGCTGTGTCTGGAAACCTGCTCCTCATCCTGGCTGTCAGCTCAGACTCCCACCTCCACACACCCATGTACTTCTTCCTCTGCAACTTGTCCTTGGTGGACATCTGTTTCACCTCCACCACTGTCCCAAAGATGCTGGTGAACATCCAGACACAGAGTAAAGTCATAACCTATGCAGGCTGCATCTCCCAGATGTATTTTTTCCTACTCTTTGCAATGCTGGATGTTTTCCTCCTGACTGTGATGGCCTATGACCGCTTCGTGGCCATCTGTTACCCCCTGCACTACACAGTCATCATGAATCCCCAGCTCTGTGGATTGCTGGTTCTGGTGTCCTGGATCATGAGCTCCCTGAATTCACTGTTAGAAAGCTTAATGGTGTTGAGGCTGTCCTTCTGTGCAGACTTGGAAATCCCACACTTCATCCGTGAACTCAACCAGATGGTCCAACTTGCCTGTTCTGACACCTTTCTTAATAACATGGTGTTGTATTTTGTAACTGTGCTGCTGGGTGGTGGTCCTTTTGCTGGGATCCTTTACTCTTACTGTAAGATAGTTTCCTGCATACGTAGAATCCCATCAGCTCAGGGGAAGTATAAAGCATTTTCTACCTGTGTGTCTCACCTCTCGATTGTCTCCTTATTTTATAGTACAAGCCTAGGAGTGTACCTCAGCTCTGCTGCTACCCACAGTTCACAGTCAAGTGCAGTAGCTTCAGTGATGTACACTGTGGTCACACCCATGCTGAACCCCTTCATCTACAGTCTCAGGAATAAACAAATAAAGAGTGCCCTGCAAAGATTCTCTGGGATGACAGCTATAAAAGGGACAATCATCCTGAGGCTGAAAAAGTGCCCTTGATTCCTGGCACCAAGCCTCTCAACCAGAAACTGATCTTTCAATCAGTTTGTGGTTGTAAAACTTGCTTTTTGTATTTGTGTCCTAGAATTTCCATTCGCGTTTTACTTCTCTGTACAATTTAAGTAACCACTTTATTAAGATCCCGCTCAGTTTTTCCCTTTGTCCTTTTTTCTACCTTTAAAAATTTTCCCAGCCTTGATTAGAAATATTTTAAAATACCAGTTCATTTCCGGGCAATATAGATTTCTAAAGAATAATTACTTCTCTAATGACATACATTATTGTAAGTAATTTGTTCTTGTTTTACAGATAGAATAGGCATATTACTCCTGCAGCAAAAAACTATGCTTGGCTACTAAGCCCATTCATATAATTGCATTTCAGGAAAATCTGAAACCCCGGTTTTCACTTTGGTGTCCCTCATCTGTTTAAGCAGTACCTTAACTGCTCTTCCTGATAAAGTAGTCTTCATCATTGCTCCCTTTACATCTCAGCCTATTGATAATAATGTTGTAGGTGAGGAACATCTGAGGCATTGGCCTGGGCCCCTCCCTACTGCTTGTTACTCAGACAAGAGTCAATGTTGTGGCTGGACATCCTTCCTGGTCTTTATTATATTTGCAACAAGCATCAGGGAACTATGAAAACACCAGGTTTATTACTCACAGGTCCTGGTAAAGCTAGAGAATTAATACCCCCAGAAAAATATCTCCAATACAAAATAAATTTGTAAGTTAGTTTACACTAACAGCCACTGGCAGAAAGTCACGTGGCTCCCTGTTAACTATTATAGAATGTGTTCAGCCAGGACTAACCAGTTAGACTTCTGCATGAACAAGTAACTAAGTCACAGAAATAATAATAGCATGGAATGAGTAAAGCACAAGATGTATAGCTCCCACTCCTGCACACCAGAATAACCTACTGACTCTCATTGTTTAGATGTTTTTCAACCCACAAAGACAACAAACATACCACAAAAATATGCCCGAAACCAGACAAGGCAATGCCAGGAGGGAAGCAGATGACCAGATGACCTTTCAACAAGACCCACCACCCCAAACTTCTTACTCATAATTACTCATAATCTTTCCTCTGTATATCCTCTTGTCTGTAAGCCATCTGGGAGTTCAGGCTTTTGAGCACTAGCTTTCCTACTCTCCTGGGTGGCACCATTTACAGTAATATAGCCAATATTTTTTCCATGCAAAGCTCAGTATCAGTTCTTGATACTGAGTCGCTACACACGAGTGAGCGTGAACTCTCTTTTGGCTAGTTGAATTTCACTAGAGGGTAAACAGCACACCCAGGGCAACACAGAAAAGTTTGAGGTTTGAGGAGGGTGTGTGTGTGTGTGTGTGTGTGTGTAGAGAGAGAGAGAAAGAGAGAGAGAGAAAGGATTGAGGGCTCTGCCATTATTGCATGGCAGCATTACTAGGGTTCGTGGATTTGCACTTTATTGGTAAATTTAGAACATGAGTGGAATTAGTGTATGAGAAGTGAAAAGAAGGGTCGCTCATGTGGTCAGTTATCTATGATACCCAAGACTTTCTAAAAGGAAACCATTATGGGTAGTGTGCCTGGATGCTTATCTAGTAGCTGTGTCATATAGCTGGTGATGAAGACTAATTGAAACTTTAAGTAAACGTAATCAGTCGGGAGGGTCTATGCAAGGAGATAGGGCTTATGGAAGTTCTTCCACTTTACATAATTGCAAGAATGTTAACGCAAGAAACATTCTACAGGAAGAACAATATGTTTATATTAAAGCTCTATGGTTCTAACTTCCTTTCCTTTCTATAACTATCCCTCCATCTTAGCACCCAGGCCAGAGTGTGCATGTAGTGTGCCATGTCTGCATGCTCTGTATTGGAACTTTTTTTCCTGAAAAATCCTTTTGGTGACAAAAGACCTAGTCCATAATATTTTCAGTCCACATTTTGGGGCTTGTCCAGGATTCCAGAGATGAACCACCCCCAACAGCTTCAGGGCAGGTGAGCCACCAGGTGCAGGCACTTCACATAAAACCACTTTGGATCATTAGGTCATGTTTATGCCCAGGGACTCTGCATTTTTCATAAGCTCCAGGAAGATGCTGATGCTGCAGGTTCTGGTCTGAGGACATTGTGAGTAGCAATGCTGTGGTCTTGTGGTAGTGCAAGTTGCATGTAGGTCATCTTTGTACCTATTTGCATTTGCATAAAATTTTGGGTGACAAGTATGCAGTCATACATCACTTATTTATGAGGATAAATCCTGAGAAATATGTGGTTAGGCTAGGTGACATTATAGGGTGGACTCACACAAACCTAGATGGTATAGCCTACTACATACTCCTATTTCTCTGTAAAAGAAGGAAAAGTTTTCCCTCCGCCCTTCTAGGTTCTTGGCTGACACATTCTTGTAATAAAAGACAGATTAATAGGAGAAAAACAAACATAAATTTAATAACATGTATTCTTCCTGTATACATGGGAAAGACCCAAGAGAACTGAGTAACTCCCTGGAATGGCCTGAGCTGCCACCTTAACTACCACCTTTAGCTGAAGCCAGAAGAAGGTGTTGGGAGAGGAGAAGTCAGTTATGGGAGGTTACCAGGAAAAGCACAGTAAACAGGGTAAGAATGTTATGCAAATTTAAGTCATTGTCTTCTGCATTGATAAGAGGTTCTAGAGATAAAGTCGCGACTTTATCTCTAGAACCTGGTACAGCCAGGGAGACACCCTTACAAGTGGATGTTTTCCTCACAAACGTAAATGTCCCTAACAAGGGTAACTTGTACTTAGTTTTCCTCTTTCTTAAAATTAACCAACCTAAAATAATTGTTATGCCAAAAAAAAAGCATATTTTGTGCTAACAAATGCTTATCCCCTATAGCTCCTAGCTACAAACCTGTTCAGCATATTACGTAGTGAATACTATAAGTTAGTGTAACATAGTGGTGAGCGTGTAATGCATTGCACTAAGATGTTACCATGGCTATGATGTCATGAGGCATTAGGCCTTTTTCATCAGCATTATAATCTTATGGGACCACAGTACCAATGTAGATGTGAAAAACTAACTTCGACTCTGTCCTGGATTTCATTTCATTGTTAAGTTTCCAGCTGTGACCTTTGACCAACTTCACCATCCTTAGAAAGCATATCAAAGCTTTCTAGTTGATGGTTATCTGTGTTCTAAAATATTTTGTTAGTAATGGCCAGAATGACATAACAATTGCAATAAGTATCAAACTGGTGATAGTTTCAATTATAAACAATTATTTATCATAAGATCGCCAGGTGGTATGGCCCATGGCATACTGCATTCTTTGTCCCTTTGTCTTGTCAAACATTAGTACCTGAGGGGTTGGTTAGAGGAGAAAAATCTGCGCAGAATTTCTGGGTCATCTGTTCTGTGCCACTCAATCCTCCCGTAAGCAAATTACCTATAATAAATTCTATTATGTTCTTTGGAATTGCCTGCTACGTTTGTCGGTCTTAAGAGACCTCCTCGTTACAGTGGCCATTACTCCTTTGCCCCACCGTTAGACAACAACCTTTGGATATTTGCTCCCTCATTGACCAAAATGTCATTATACAGTGCATGACCATAGTGATTCATTGCAGAGGCTATGATAAATTCCGTGATTCTTTCCCTTTTATAAGTTCTCTTGAGTGACACTAAGTAATATAGTTCTGAAAAAGAATTTGTAATAGGCAGAATAAAGACCTCCAAGTGATGTTCACATCCTAATCTCTAAAAACTTTGAATGTTATATTTTATAATAAGGAAGGATTAAGATAGCAAATGGAATAGGTCGACTAACCAGCTGGCTTTAAGAAGATTGGCCGTGATTATGCAGGTGGGACTAATGTCATCACGGTGGTTCTAGAATGTGGAAAAGGAATGAACAATAGTTGGAATCAGATGGAGATTGGAAGATGCTACATTGTGGAGAAAGGGCCATGAGCCAAGGAATGCTTGTGGCTATGAGAAACTGAAATAGGAGAGAAACGGATTCTCTTCTGGAGCCTCCAGAAGGAACCGGCCCTGCAAACATGTTGATTTTAGTCCATTGAGATTCTTTTTACGCTTCTCATCCTGAAAACAGTAAGAGCAAAAATTGGTTTCTTTCATACCTTACTGTTGTAATTTGTTACAGCAGCAGTAGGAATACATTTATCTAATAAAATTTTTTTGGTAGAAATAAAATTTTAGCCTCTTAATTTATTCTATTATCTTCCTTGTGTAAAAGCACTTGTGTTGAAATTAACCTTAAGTAGAAAAAGAATCTAAAGCCAATTTGGTAATTCTGCTCCATGAGCTGCTCTAGTGAAATCCCCACTTCATAAAAGTGAAACCAAACCAGAATCCATTCTTGACAAAGCCCCTACCACAAGTTTCTCGCTTGCAAGAAACCATACCAAGCCCTTTTTCTTACATTCACCTAAGTCAACTTTCTCAGACATAAATCAGGGTCTTGGAGCACTAGTTCCCTCTCTGGACTCACAGATAATGTATTGGCACAGACCTTGAGTTTGTTTTTACAAGAAATAAACACCTCCACCAGGTAAAAAACTGCTAACTCTGACCACAGTGACACAGACTAGCTGATGCTGGAAGGTTGATGAGCAAAACTCCTTAAGTATCTCTTCATAAAACCACCTCCAATCATTCATCCTTTAAATCCCAACTGCCAATAAGCACTTAGGTGGTTTGAGCTTTTGAGCATTAACTTTCTACTTCTCCTTGCATAGTGCTGCCAGTGACGTGAATCTAATCTTTCCACTGCGATTATCGGCATTCAGTGTTTGACTCAGGTGGCGCCTGGTGGACAAACTCTTTGTGCGGTTCCAAAAGTAAATGTAGTTCTGATTTTGAGGCCTTTGTGCTTTAAACTAAGAAAAGTAATTCATTACTAAAAGTAAGGTTAATCATTTTACTTTAAATCATCGTGTCTAAATTTCTGTATTCTTTTAGTTTCATGTAAATTTAACTGTCTTACTTCTCATTTC